GTGATTAACTGGAAATTGCGCTGTGATTCTTCGACTTCAACCTGCCGGTACATTTTGGCCGACAGTGCAAATGGCCGAATTCGAAACCTCAACAAAGTGGAGTACAAACATGGTTGGATGGTTGGACCAACCATAAGAATGTCATTTAATGACTTCTGTGACGACGTCTTGCTCGACGCGTCGAAAACTACTTGCAACTTCGTTGAGGTGCTTTGTGGTCTTAGCACACACTGGTATGGAATAAAATAGTGTGGCTCTCTCGGAATTCTATTGTCGGTAGCAGTCATATGGCCCAACGAAATATATTCCAACATAAAGTTGTTGTACATGACATATATTTCTGGCTGCTTAGCCATTCTTCTCTCTAGTGCCAAAAAACGCCTTTTAGCATTCTCAAATGAGTTGCCAAGACACTGAGGGCTAGATTTAAATGACAATGCGACACTTAGCCGACCCGAGGGCAAACGAGTGATTGAATTCACGAATGATTTCTCACAAAGCATCTGTTCTGGGGTATATAAATTTGTTTCAGTTAAATTTGGAACTTCTTCCAACTCTCAGAACCTGCGAACAAGTGTGTCTAAATTAATTAGTTCATGATCAGGCGAGATATCATGACTTGAGCTTACAAGGGACGCAGAACAAGATTTGGGTGAGCTCGCAGACTGGCATCGGCCAGCCACTATCCAGCCGAGGGCTGTTGCTTGTAACGATGGAGACTCACTTGTTCCTTTTACGTGCCCTTCTCTCAAAAGCTGGAAAAATGCATCTGCTCCAAGAAGCATATCAATACGTTGTGGCCTATGAAATTGAGGATCCGCCAACTGAAGACCCTCAGGCACATCAACGTTTACCACAGCCTTTTCAGGCTGGTATGACGAAATAGCGCTCAAAATTCCAAATTCAGAACCGAATGTGAAGTTGCCGACGCGTGAAGCTATCGACGTTTGCACGACATGTCTGACAGCAGATTTTCGTTTACCTATGCCAAGTAAGCTTATATCTTTTCTTTCCCATTTTAAATTTAACGATTTGGCCAACTCTTCCGTCATGAAATTGACTTGGGAACTAGAATTGAGTAAGGCCCTGGCAAGTTGGAAAGATCCTGATTGATCCATAACTCGAACAACTGACCTGGTCAGAAACAGTAGTTGCATGGTTAACCACCGAAGTTTGTGCTGGCGTTGCCGGCTGGGCAGCTACTGACTGACTAACAGGTGCAGGATGTGGGAAATTTGCAGCATATTTGTGCAGGATTGTGTGGTGTGGTTTTGAGCAAACTCTACACCCGACTGATTTGCACACTTTGGTTGTATGACCCTTTCTAAGGCAGTTTATACATAACAGAGACCGTTTCACGAAATTGAAACGTTCGTCCCGAGTTATCGCTGCAAATTGGGTACATGAATGTATGTAATGCTCATTCGACTGGCAGAACGGACACTTCGGACCAGACAGCTGACTAGGCTGAGCAACTGGTAGCGCAACTTTAGTACCCTTTTTTGCATAGTTGGCACAACTTTTTTGACTACGGCCACAAGACGATTCTTCAGCGGACAAATGCTGATAACGTCGATTGAATGCAGCCTCGCAATCTTCCCAAGACGGAAGACGGCTGTAGTCAAGGCTTTCCTCACACTTTGAACGTGTAGTGGGGTCAACTTTGCTCATAACCAAATGTATGAGCATTAAGTTTGAAATTTGTTTATCGTTGCCTAACGACAACAACGACTCGTAGCTGGCGCGAACATTATCAATCAATGAACGCAACGACACAGCTGACGGGCTTTGCAACTTGGGCAAATCAAAAAGTTTGGCAATGCTATCAAATACGATAAGGCAACTATTATCGTACACGCGCTTAAGCGCTGCAAGCGCTTTAGGATAATTATCCTCGGTTACCTGGTAGGCTCTTACGGTACCAAGCACTTCTTTTTCTAGGCATGAAAGCAGGTGGTTGAACTTTTCAATATTGGACAAAGATGGATCGTCGTCGACCAAGCTCTCAAAAAGACCAATAAAGTTTTTATAATCGGAATAGTTTCCGCTAAATCTCGGCAACTTCATTGCTGGAAGTTGCCGGCTATGAGAGTGTCCACTCATTGTGGAATTGGCTAAACTATCCGTATGGAGTTTTGCCCGTCCACCTCTGCTCATGAGCAATGCCTTTGCTGTGACGCACAGACTTTCTAAGTCTGCTCTAGAAGCTAGAGAAGGATTTATGTTATCGAGTTCTTCCTGTATTTTGAATGCCTTTTCTATATATCTATTCAAAATTTCTAGCCTGCACTCAACCTCGAACGGTTCGATGACTGGGGTACTCTGAATGGAGCGTTTAATGCGTTCAATGTCGCGAACCACATTATCATGCGACTGTAGCCAGCAGTCGGCTGTACTAGAATTCGACTCGTCTAGTTCTCTGATCTGAACTTGCTTGCATCTTTTACTAGGCATTTTGATTCTGTTTTATTAAAATCGGTGTATTGATAAATTTGAATAATAACTGGCGATTATCAAATCTAACGCTAATATACTAATGGACAGGTACAATGGCTAATATATTAGACCGGCACGTTTTAAGTTAAACTGCCTAAATATGCAAAAATTCAAAAGAGTGCCTAATATATTTGGCCGGCACTGTTCTATTAGTTAGCGCAGCTGATCGACGCAAAGTTCAATAACTCGAATTAATATTTGAGTTATCAAACGTTGGCAGCGCAGCTACAACAGAATAAATACTTGGCAGCGGCGCAGGCGCTAGCAGAATCAAGATCGACGGCTGGCGCAACGAGAAAGCGCACAAGCAACAAGTGCGAAGAGAATCGCTGCAAATTTAAAGTCGCTAGACGAATGCACAAAGCCAACGCACGATTGCTTGTTGCTTTGTGTGTGCCTATGTACAACTGCAACGACGGACAGTGGACACAAGTACCAAAGAAAAAGCAACGGCAAATTGGTAAAGCGCAACGACCCAGCCGAGAATTTGGCGCGACTAAAATTTTCTCTTATGTATTTATGTATGTATGTGTGTATATATACATGCGTGTGTATATATTTATATGTAAATGTATATACTGGGAATAATTTTATGCCAAGCGCAACCAGTTTAAATAATACAAATACATATGTATATCCACCTTGCAGCAAATAAGCGCAGTTATGTACGTACATACGTATTGACATTTGGCAATTTGTATTTATTTATTTTGCACAAGGCGACAATGTTGGTACACACAGGTGTGGCCGAAACTTAATTTGTATTCGTTACCTGTGCACTTCCCTGACAATTATGGAAAGTCATATGGATGCTGGATAAACTTGCCAAGATCCAAACCCAATGTGAGGCACAAGTTCAGCAATCCACGTACAGGAACGAATCCAACGAAGAACGAAGTCCAGCGGCGACCAAGAAAAGCCAAAGTCCACCCGTGGGGGCCAAAATGTTCAGCTAAAGCTGGAAACTTGCCGGTATGGCAAAAGCTAAGGTCCAATGTATTTGATTTACTTCCAAATGAAGTAAATCTCACGATAATGGCAGACTGCTTTTGGCTCGCACGGGATATTAAGAAATTGCAAAGAAAAGCGAACTGCACAGTCTGAACTCGATTTGCTAAGTGCTTTTATTTTATCGTTTATGCTCGCTCTCATGCGCGTGTGGAACGCATTGAGAGACAGCGCGAGAGAGCAACATAGAACTTATAGCTGTAAACAGACAGCGCCTAACAATTACATATATATATGTGCAAACAATTCATTTTTTTCTTTACTTAAATCTAAACTTCAATATTCTTAATAGCTAATGCAATTCTTAAAACTATGAAATGACCAAACAGTCATGTTCGTTTAACGAAATAGTTTGGCAAGAACAAAAATGTAACGGACTACTGAATAATTTTTTGTCAAGAACAGAAAATGTTCATTTAAATACCTTAAATGCCTTCCTACTGGTAACTTATAAGGTGAAAGCATATGGGTAGGTTATTGACAAACAAAATAAATACAATTGGAAACATTATATTGATCCGGGTAAGGACGGGCAATACCTGCTAGTCAAATATATTTATGGCTATAACTTCTTGTTAAAGACCTATTATGATGAAACTTGGCATACGGACACATAATAACTAACTGGAGGTATTTGCAAAATTTTAGTTCGAAATTCCAAGAATTACGGGAGTTAGAGAAAATCGCGATTTGCAATGGAGAGGGGGGGAGGTAGGGAAATTCTATAAAAAACACATTTTCTGCGTATTCACATAAGGCATCTTGGACTTTAAATAGAACGCTACAGTCGAGCAAGGCCGACAGTAAAATAGCCTGTACTCTCCACAAAAAGAAAAATTAAAAAAAAAAAAAAAATTAAAAAAAAATTTAATTATTTAAAAAATGAAGGAATTAATTAATTAAAATAATTAATTAAATTAAATTAGAATACATGTTTATGTTCAGTTTAAACAGCATACATTTATGCGTGTTTATATGCGTGTATGTATGCAGCACAAAGTTGAACAAAAGCAGCAACAACAACAACAGCTGCAGGCAGCGCATGAGCAGCGATTTTACTTATGGCTTTCTTCAGAATTGACCTATCATGATGAAATTTGGCGTACGGACACATTAGTACTAACTGGATGTACCTACCAAAATTGATTTCAAAATTCCGAGAATTACGGAAGTTATAAGAAAAAACACGAATTGCGGGGGAGTGGGGGGTGTATCAGAAAAAATAAACAAACTCGATCTGCCTAGGGCTTATCGGAACCTTGATACCAATTTTGGTTATCCTAGCTTTTGTACTTACTGAGATCCTTGCGCTCATACAGACAGACGGACAGACAGACAGACGAACATGGCTATATCGACTAGTCTTCTCATCCTGATCAAGAATATATATACTTTGTGGGGTCTGCCGCGCCTCCTTCTGTGTGTTACATACATGCGCACAAAACTAGTATAGCCTTTCACCCTTTGGGTACAGGCTATAAAAAACGTAAAACTCGTCGGAATAAGGCTGGACTAAAAAATACTTCTGATCAGATTGCGGCCGATGTGCGGGATCCTGCCGGCTTAGTTAAATGTACAGTAAAACAGTCCACTTTCAACTTTTGCCCCTAATACCCGAACTGTTTTTTTCAGATATCACTATTGGAATTGATCCGGCATATTGAACCGATTTATTGTTTTTAAAATTTAAATATGCTTAACAAATGCTGCCCCAGAAGGAATGAGATCGCCAAAGCGAACGCCAAAAAACGGTCTTCGAGAACTTGAATTGGAAAACTGTCAACCACGTTTTGAATTACTTCTTCAGCAGCAAGCCCCTGTTTTTACCTTAAGTTTTCTAGTACCAGACTTATTAAGCGGGTTGTTCCCTTTGGCGATGGGTTTATGATTAGTAGCTGAATGATTTGTCTATTGTTGATTTGTAAAAGCAAAGGCATCGAAGAAACTATAACAGAATTCCCAAGTGTGTCCTTGTACCCCAATGTACCCTTGAGTGAAAATAAAACAAGTAAAAAAGCTAAAGTCGGGTGTCCCGACTTTAAAATACTCTGTACATATGTTTACAAAACCAATTAACAAAAAAAATTTTGATCGATTTTACCTCGGATGTCCCGACTTTAAAATACTCTGTACATATGTTTACCAAACCAATTAACAAAAAAAATTTTGATCGATTTGACCTCTTATCGAATTCGAACTAACGTAAAGGGTGTATAATTGCACATTTGCATAGCAATTGCGTCTGTGTGAGTGTATGTATGCCTATGCGTAAACATGTGTGCAGTCAACCAAACAGCAACATCAACAACAGCCGCGGGCAGCGCTAGAGCTGCGCTGCAGCAGCAAATATATTTATGGCTATAACTTCTTGTTAAATCGGTCTTTCATAGTGAAACTTGACATACGGACACATAACATAAGTTCGAAATTCCAAGAATTACGAGAGTGAGAGAAAATCGCGATTTGCTTTGGAGAGGAGGGCGGGAGGGAAATTCCAAAATACACATTTGCGGGCAGCGCTTGAGCAGCGCTGCAGCATCTATATATATAAAACAGTTTGTCCTGACTGACTGACTGACTAACTAACTGATTGGTGATCAACGCACAGCCCAAACGGTAAAAGCTAGGAAGCTGAAATTTGGACTCAAGTATCCTTTCATAGTCTAGGTGCCCACTAAGAAGGGATTTTGGAAAACTCGAGCTCCAAAGGGGAGGGAAAACAGGCTCCAACGTTTGTATGAAAAATCTACAGTTTTCATCTGATTAACTTCAAACTTTCAACTTCAAACAAGTTTGTATACTCTCAGAACAATTCCAAGAAAAACTGTATACTTGTTTTTTTAAATTTTTGGTTGGAGCTTGAATTATTGGGGTTTTCTTGGGGCACAAAAGGAAACCGCGTCAACAGCCCACACGGTAAAAGCTAGGATGCTGAAATTTGGGCTCAAGTATCCTATCATGGTGTAGATGCGCACTAAGAAGGGATTTTGGAAAATTCGAGCTCCAAAGGGGGGAAATGTAGCTCCAAAGTTTGTTTGAAAAATCCGCATTTTTCAACCGATCGACTTAAAACTTAGTTTCTAAAATCAATTAAAGAATGCAAACAAAACTGCATACTTAGATTTGTGTTGGAGCTTGAATTATTGGGGTTTTAATATTTATTCACTATTTCAAATGAAAAGTTTTTGTTATAAATTTAGTCCGCTCGATTTAAAATTTGGGTAATGTAATCTACGTAACTAAATCTACAACTTTGCATTCATGGATTTTCAAAATATGCATTTTACAAAAGCATGCAGAACAAACAATACAAAATATCAAACAGTTGGGGACAACTAAGTATACATACACACATACAAACAGCTGTTCGTGTAGTTGCGTGCAAACGATTGAAATAGCCAAAGCAAAATGTGAGACACTAATGTGTGAATGTCCATACATATGTGCACATCTATGTTGTTTAGTGCATTTGGCATTAATAACTTTATGCAGCAACAACAAATATCAAATAGTTGGGGACATCACATATACACACTCACACACACAACAAGCAACAGTTCGTGTCTATGTGTGCGGTTCTCTACGTATGGTTGAAAAAGTAAAGAGAAACATACATATGTATGTATGTATGCCTTTGTATGAATATAGCATGTATGTACATTCGCATTAATGTATACATTGGGCAATCGAACACAGTTGTTTGATTGTAAAAAAAATAATGCTCTAAAAACAACAACAACTGCAAGTCATTGGCTCGCTCTTCTTCTTTCGTTGTGACCATTTAATGTTAATTGCAAAGGCAAAACACCAAAAATTTACAGTTACCGTCGCTAGGCAACGAGTGCGTAAGCGATAGTAAAGCAAAAACCGATAGTAAAGCTTCGCATTGCGGGCAGATGTATGTATGTATATGATTTATTCTTATTGATCTCAATAAATAATTAGATTTTATTACTTAAATATTCTGCTTATTGCATTCAAACTTCGATATTTTGATGGTATCGGTGGCTTCAACTATCGAAAGTTTTACTCTAGCAAATTGAGATGAGAATTGTCAGTGCTTTTTGATCGTGGCTCATCGCTGCACGGCATTGACATGAGTGCCGTGTTTCATATTCCGAGTTTGTGCGTGACCGTATTGACTCAATATGACACGAAAGACTCAAAGGTGAATTTAGAATTAAGATATACCCTTATAATTATTCCCCATTTTTGCACATAGTCTATCTTAAAACGTTGCGTTATCTCTATATAAAAAACAGTTTGTCCTGACTAATTGGTGATCAACGCACAGCCCAAACGGTAAAAGATGAAATTTGGACTCAAGTATCCATCATAGTGTAGGAGCACACTAAGAAAGGCTTTTGGAAAATTCTAGCTCCAAAGGGGGGAAAACGAGCTTTAAAAAATATTAGTTATAGTGGTCATGTTCGTTTAACCAAATAGTTTGGCAAGAACAAAATGTAACGGACTACTAAATAATTTTTTGTCAAGAACAGAAAATGTTCATTTAAATACCTTAAATGTCTTCCTACTTGTAACTTATAATGTGAAAGCATATGGGTAGGCTATGCACACACAAAATAAATACAATTGGAAACATTATATTGAGCCGGGTTAAGACAGGCAATACCTGCTAGTCAAATATATTTATGGCTATAACTTCTTGTTAAAGACCTATTATGATGAAACTTGGCATACGGACACATAATAACTAACTGGAGGTATTTGCAAAATTTTAGTTAGAAATTCCAAGAATTACGGGAGTTAGAGGTAATCGCGATTTGCTTTGGAGAGGGGGGAGGTAGGGAAATTCTAAAAAACACATTTTCTGCGTATTCACATAAGGCATCTTGGACTTTAAATTTAATATCCCTAGGTCCTATAGTGTTAGTTATAGCAAGGTCTATATTTTAAACAGTAGGCTTCAAACAATAAACTATTTTTAAAAAGTGGGCGTGGTTATACGCTCATACCACCCATATACATATATTAAATGATATGTGAGTAAATCATGATGTCAGTGACACATTTGGAAAAAGTGACTTCTTGATTAGATTACAATATTTGTAAATAGACCAAAAATACGACCTCAAAATGGAACAAAAACTTGGAAATTTTGGCCGATTCTATTTATTCTATTTATACATTTATACATAGTGTTGGTCATGCTGTTCTTACCCCAAATTTGCTATCGTTTTTAAAAGGGTTAGTTTGGCCTTTGATATATTCACGATGTTTTTAAAATTGTAAAGTGATCGCAGATTGCTGTACAGTGCTTTGGGGAAATCTCCACCTATTTGGGGGTATATGATGAACATTCCAATCGAATCACAATTCATTTCTCGATAAGTCACACTTCGAAACACTTCCTATAAATGAATATACACATGAAATTCTGGAATAAAGATAAAAAATTTGCTTAAAAAATGCAATTGCGGAACCGTGATGTCCCCCTAGTTATAGGAAAAGTATACACATACAACAATCCTAACTACAGGAATATCCAATTGGGATATATTAATAAAAAACGTAAAACTCGTCGGAATAAGGCTGGACTAAAAAATACTTCTGCTCAGATTGCGGCCGATGTGCGGGATCCTGCCGGCTTAGTTAAATGTATAGTAAAACAGTCCACTTTCAACTTTTGCCCCTAATACCCGAACTGTTTTTTTCAGATATCACTATTGGAATTGATCCGGCATATTGAACCGATTTATTGTTTTTAAAATTTAAATATGCTTAACAAATGCTGCCCCAGAAGGAATGAGATCGCCAAAGCGAACGCCAAAAAACGGTCTTCGAGAACTTGAATTGGAAAACTGTCAACCACGTTTTGAATTACTTCTTCAGCAGCAAGCCCCTGTTTTTACCTTAAGATTTCTAGTACAAGACTTATTAAACGGGTTGTTCCCTTTGGCGATGGGTTTATGATTAGTAGCTGAATGATTTGTCTATTGTTGATTTGTAAAAGCAAAGTCATCGAAGAAACTATAACAGAATTCCCAAGTGTGTCCTTGTACCCCAATGTACCCTTGAGTGAAAATAAAACAAGTAAAAAAGCTAAAGTCGGGTGTCCCGACTTTAAAATACTCTGTACATATGTTTACAAAACCAATTAACAAAAAAAATTTTGATCGATTTTACCTCTTTTCGTATTCGAACTAACGTAAAGGGTGTATAATTGCACATTTGCATAGCAATTGCGTCTGTGTGAGTGTATGTATGCCTATGCGTAAACATGTGTGCAGTCAACCAAACAGCAACATCAACAACAGCCGCGGGCAGCGCTAGAGCTGCGCTGCAGCAGCAAATATATTTATGGCTATAACTTCTTGTTAAATCGGTCTTTCATAGTGAAACTTGACATACGGACACATAACATAAGTTCGAAATTCCAAGAATTACGAGAGTGAGAGAAAATCGCGATTTGCTTTGGAGAGAGGGGCTGGAGGGAAATTCCAAAATACACATTTGCGGGCAGCGCTTGAGCAGCGCTGCAGCATCTACATATATATATAAAAACGTTTGTCCTGACTGACTGACTGATTGGTGATCAACGCACAGCCCAAAGGGTAAAGGCTAGGAAGCTGAAATTTGGACTCAAGTATCCTTTCATAGTCTAGGTGCCCACTAAGAAGGGATTTTGGAAAACTCGAGCTCCAAAGGTGGGAAAACAGGCTCCAACGTTTGTATGAAAAATCTACAGTTTTCATCTGATTAACTTCAAACTTTCAACTTCAAACAAGTTTGTATACTCTCAGAACAATTCCAAGAAAAACTGTATACTTGCTTTTTTAAATTTTTGGTTGGAGCTTGAATTATTGGGGTTTTCTTGGGGCACAAAAGGAAACCGCGTCAACAGCCCACACGGTAAAAGCTAGGATGCTGAAATTTGGGCTCAAGTATCCTATCATGGTGTAGATGCGCACTAAGAAGGGATTTTGGAAAATTCGAGCTCCAAAGGGGGGAAATGTAGCTCCAAAGTTTGTTTGAAAAATCCGCATTTTTCAACCGATCGACTTAAAACTTAGTTTCTAAAATCAATTAAAGAATACAAACAAAACTGCATACTTAGATTTGTGTTGGAGCTTGAATTATTGGGGTTTTAATATTTATTCACTATTTCAAATGAAAAGTTTGTGTTATAAATTTAGTCCGATCGATTTAAAATTTGGGTAATGTAATCTACGTAACTAAATCTACAACTTTGCATTCATGGATTTTCAAAATATGCATTTTACAAAAGCATGCAGAACAAACAATACAAAATATCAAACTGTAGTGTGCATACATAAGGAGTACACACTGTACGCAGTGCACTCTTAAGAACATACACTGTAACACTTTATTGCAGTGAATAAATTAATTCAAAAAGCCAAGCATAATTCGGACGCGATGTAATATGATCGCACATGCATTGGGCGACATAAGTGCAGCGTCAGTGCAACTAGTGTCAGCCACCTCAAGTGCACATAACATTCTCCCTCGCGCTCTCGCTGCCAACAGCGCTGAGTACAAATACATAAGTAAAATACATAATGCGGCCGCTCCGCTGCCGGCGTCTCTGGCAGCGCAGCTACGAGGCCTTAGCTAAGTTCACTTTAAGTAAAATGTAAGAAGTCAGTATAAGTTCAAGTTTTAAGTTTGAGTGTCGTGAATAAAATAAAGAAGAATAAAAACTCATAATGGAAACAACGTATATTATTACATGGCGACCGTGACAGTGTCCTACATAGGACCGTGATAGTGGTCCTGGAGGACCAAGGACAGAGGAGCTGATATACCATAAAAACTACCATAATAACGGCAAGAGGACAACTTTAAAATTCGGAAGATGGAGCTTGGCATGGACATCAACACAATAAAAATACTGAGTGAGTAGAGTGCGCGAGTGATGGGTAAACTCGGAGGTATGCACAATAAGATTAATAAGAGAATAGCACGTTTGAAGTGGCTATTATTCTCGAGTGCAACACCACCCGCATGGGCAACGGCCCAAAAATTGCAGGCAGAACTTGACTATTTAAAGTCAATAAGCAAAAATGCGAAACCCGACTCCGCAACTCGCTCCACTCGTATTGAAAATATAAATAAACGTGAATTAATTTTACCGCCTTCACCCAAGCAACTGCCAAAGAACGCAAAAAGCTGCCCAACGGACTGCGAGGGACCATTGTACACCCCACACTGCGAGTACACGTGCCGCCACTGCACGATACGCAATTAGGAGCAGTAAGTGTGAAAGGCATAGGACCGCCTTTTGCACCACCGCTGGAAAAACGCCGACGACAACTGTAAGTGCGGGAGGCAGGCCGCCCCTTGCACCAACGAGGGAGCATCAGCGTGCCACACCGGCGACGCCCAGCTGATGCGGGAATACACCACATCAAATAGCGACAAGTGCGGGAGGCAAACCACCACCAGCGACAACGAGGGAGCATCAGCGTGCCACACCGGCGACGTCCAGCTGATGCGGACGCCACAAGACGACAATCCCAAAAAGGGACACCAGAGGAAAATTTAATGATTAAGCAAAGATAAAAACTTATAATGCAAAATTTGTAATGCATATTTAAGTTAAAATATATATATGTAAGAAAAATTGTAAAAAAATAGCCAATAAGAAAATTGTAAAATAATTAATAAGGAAAATTGTAAAATTGAGCGGAACCTTTTCTGCCCGATTAGAAGTACAGCCCGTAAAGCTGTACGAACAAATAGGCAGGAAAATTGTCAATCTTTTAATAGTATGAATGAGGAGCAATAGTATAAGTAAGATAGATCAGATAGAAATAGATAAGCCATATAAAAGTGGCATAGTTACCGATAAAATAAGTAATATACCCAAAATGGGTTTGATAGACACTAAGGTAGTAGATTCCACTGCAGGAATTGTCAATAAGGTGGAATCACAGAAAGTAGATGTAGAAATGATAAATATCCTGTTGGTAGTAATCGTTGTGTTAATGAGTACGAATTTGTTTTTTAAGCTGTATAAGCTACACAATAAATGCCTAAAAAAAAGAATTCTGAGTAAGGCAAATGACTTAGATAAAATATAAAAAAATATACAGCGATTACTGCCAGCAGTAAAAAAAAAATTATTATTAATAAATAAATATAAATAAAAAAAGGACATTTTTCACCAATGTAAAATTATAATATCAGGTATGCCCAAGAGTGGAAAGAAATCCACACCTAGGTAGAACCAACCACTATGCACAATGGGTAGATGACCAGGACAATAGATTTAAACAGTAAATAATAATTATGAAATATAGGAATAGAATAGAAGAAACATAAATAAATAAAAATTAATAAATAATAAATAAAACATAAAAATTAAAAGTAAAAAAAAAGAAAGGGTGTTCAACTTAATTACCTAGGAGTCCAATGAAAAAAATTCTTGCTGAGCATCAAAATTATCCATAATACATGGACTGGAATGCTATATGCGGGAGAGTGCAAGAGCTGAGAGCTGAATTTGATAAATCATACAAAAGCCTCACTCAAAATAGGCCAATACAGATTGGTACATTCAATAAGCACACCATCAAATTGGTGCATTATTATAACGAGATCCGAGAGATATTACTAGAAAACAAACCTAGGCTCACGGATCTCCATTGGACTCAGGCTTCAGACGTTGTCAAACGTCTAAGAGAACAGCTGCTCGCTGTTAGAGAAAGACATGGCTTGGATATACACTTGCCAAATGTCATAAGTAGCGACATATATAGCTGTGGACGAAGATGAAGTAATGTCTATAAGTCCCAGGTCAAAATCGCCAAATACGGCATATGTCAGCATAATTTCGGAAGAAGATTCCAAAAGCGGACTTACTCCCAATAACAGCCCCGCAAGAAGCGAACCGGCTGACAGCCTCAACGCAATAGTAAACAGCCCGCAGTTGCGAAAAATGTCGCAGACACAGATACAATTCTTAAAAACGGCGTCATCTCTGATACCGGAGTTTGATGGCAAAGCCGAAAATTTGAGAAGCTTCTTGGACGCGTTGCAGTTGGTGGACTCAATTAAAGAGACACACGAGTCAACGGCAGTCCAATTAATAAAAACAAAGCTCAAAGGCAACGCACGCAATTTAAAGGTGACTCAGTTGAGGTTATTACAGCCAAACTGATGAATCTTCAACAGAAGAGCAAGACGGCTAATCAGTATACCCAAGAGGTAGAAAAACTGACAAAGTCTCTAGAGAGTGCATACATAAACGATGGACTTTCATTGGAGATAGCCGCTAAATACAGTACGCAACATGCTGTAAAATCAATGATGAAGAATTGTAACATTGACAGGGTAAAGCTGGTAATGGAGGCCGGCCAATTCAACAATATGAATGAGGCTGTCTCCAAGTTTGTCAATAGTTGTACCGATGCAACTGGACGAACAGATACAATTTTGTATTATAAAAACCAGCAAATAGACAGACGCTTCAGTAATAATCATAGAGCCAGAGGTAATAATAACCATCGCGTTGGAAATAGCTATCGTGGTGGAAATAACTATCGCGGTGGAAATAACTATCGCGGTGGAAATAACTATCGCGGTGGAGATAACCATCGTGGTGGTAGAAACTACCAGAATGGCTACCAACGAAATAACAGCAATTATAACCAAGTCCGACTGGTGCAAACCACGTCGCAAAACCAGTAAAAACCCTTGGGATAAAGAAAACTGTGGAACAAACGGTTCACGCAATAAACCTTAATTTCAATCTTTATGTTACACTAAAAAATGAAGCAACACATAAGTTGTACACATTGCTG